GCTCTACCCCAGGGGTAGGCAAGAAAAGCCTGGTCTGCTGGGTGGGGGGCACCAGCTGCACCCCCCCCAGCAGACCAGGGAGACGGGGGTGGCAGGACCGCCCAAGTCCTCCACGGCTTTGCTCCGTCTCCCTGGTCTGCTGACCTGGGAGATGCGGAGCAAAGCCGCAGAGCACGCGGCCAGCGGGACAGTCCAGGCGCGCTTGGGCTGTCCCGCTGCGGGCGTGCTCCAAGGCTTTGCTCCCTGTCTCCCTGCAGACCAGGGAGATGAGGAGCAGCTTTTCTCGCCCCGGAGGACGGGGGAGGCGGACCGCGGCGCATCTGGGCGTCCCGCCGCTCCTGTCCTCCGGGGCGAGAAAAGCCTCGTTCGTAACTGCGGACGGATCCGCGTAACTCGGGGACTGCCTGTATACAGGATCTTGCCCAAAAGGGGTTTTGTGCTCAAAATGGACCCATCTACACTGCTTGTTTTTGCAGAAAAACCTCTTGGGCAAATGTCAGCACAACAAATGCTAATGAGCATTTTATTAGCATATTATTTGCTGGCAAAAGCCTGCACTGTAGACATAGCTTCAGAGGTGTGGTTTTTCAACCCATGGAGTGACATAACTAGGTCAACCTAACTTTTTAGTGTAAACCTAGTCTTATAAGGGTAGTTCCCATCTCCTGTGCTTCATCAGGCTGACTCTAGTTGTGGAGGTTAACACAGCAGTTTAGCTTCCACTAGGATGCTTTTTTTATTACCTGCCGCCTTTCCACCTGCTCAGACAGCTGCAATAGTAACCCTAGCCTGTGTCTTCTCTCTGTGTGATGAGCAAGGGGAAAAATGAGATTTTACTCTTGAGAATCCAGCTATGCTGTGAAAAGGGTATAACCAACATTTTAAAACCAGACCATGAGAAAATACATAGTGAAAACAGCTAAAAAGTAATCTTGCCCTGCAGAATCCTTTAGGTGGGGATTGCAAATCTTGCAGAAATCTGAGGCTCTGGCTTTGTCCCATGGGATCTATAGAAAGCTTGCAGCAATTGTGAACAAGTGGCTGGCCATTCGGTATGTGAATATGCTATGATTGGCCATTTGCGGTGCATTGAGTCAGACTTCTTGCCTGAGTGAAATATGACAGTATGCGTCACTTGATGGCATTTCTCTGTATGCAGCCTAACTTTGCTCAATCTGATCAATTCCAACACTTCAGAGGATGTTCAGTGGGCAGAACCCTATTCATTTTGGTGAAATCCAGAAATGCCTGATAGCCATTGAAGTCAGACTCACAGTGTACCCATTTGGTGCCATAGGCAGTAGAACAGGTAGGCAATAACTTTTTACCAGGGGCCACTTCAGAAATTTGTGAAGTGGCACTGGGCCACATCAAAAGAGGAGGGGCGAGGATACATTCCCTGCTTCCCCACCCACAAGCCTACATGTGCAATACACTTCGGGATCCTCTAAATAGATGTGTGTGTGTGTATATATAATTTTTTTTTTATTATTTTTTTTTTTGGCTATCAGGTATTATTTTCCTACCTATGAAAATGACACACTCCTATGTACGTTGTCAGACAGTGAAGATGAACTGACAGCCAAGGATCAAAGCGAAGGTATCCCTGTCATTAGTGAAGATATTTGCGACCTAGAGGCTTTGAGACAAAACAGTATTTTAAACCAACTCCTCCATGAAGAGAACAATTAACGGAAGCCTAACCATTGAGACATTTACTAATCTCCATGTGTTCTACCTGCAAGATTAAAAGTAAAAATGTGATCTAACCTACATCCTAGTGTGATTTAGCCCATGCTTGCTATAAACACACTGATTGTAAATGAATGGGAATACCAAATAAAGAAAATAGGCAGTAAAAGCTGTATATAAACTTGTATGTTGTTGTTGTTGTTTGTTTTTAAACTCATCTGGAGGAAAAAAACATAACTTCTCCAGTAACTTTATTGTTTATTTGCACAATTTTATTTTATCTGAACATCTACAGCAGTGGTCACCAACCAGTAGATTGGGATCTACCGGTAGATCTTGGAGCCTCTGACAGGTGATCCTGATTGGTTTGGCCAAGAGGCTGTCAAGTGCCAGCACTTCTGCTGCCCCTCCCCCTACTGCTGTGCATCTCCTGCCCTTTGCCTTGGAATTGGCTCCTCAGGAGCTTGCTGCGCTGGGCAGGGGAGGGAGAAGAGGGATGCTGATGTCAGGTGCCCCCTCTCCCACTTTGTATCCTTTCTCCACAGAGCAGAGAGGTGGCACGACAGGACTTGGGATGGAGTTTGGTGGCTGCTTTCAGGAGTGGTGCAGGGCTAGAGCAGGGGTGAGCCTGCCTTAGCCCCACTGCACCACTACCCAGGAGCCACCTGAGGTAAGCAATGCCCAGCTAGAGTCCATATCCCAAAACCCTACTCCCATGATGAACCCCCCCAAGCCTCTGCCCTAGCCACAAGCACCCCTGCATCCAAATGCCCTCCCAGAGCCTGCACCTAGAACCCCTTCCCACATCCCAGCTGCCTGCCCCAAACTCAGCTCAGAGCCCTTCTCACACTGTAAATCCCTTAATCCAAGATCAGAGCTTGCACCACAACCCTCTGCCCCAGCCTGGGCTTTGGAGAAGGAGTGGGAAGAAGGCGGGGCAAGGATATTTATATTTGAGATAGATCTTGGATTGCACTTACATTCAAAAAGTGATTTTGTGCTTAAAAAGATTGGAGACCTCTGCTCTACAGCATAATAGTTGCTGTTGGCTCGTGTTTTATGGGCATCTGGTGCTAGAGATGCAAACCCAGACCACTATGTGAAAGAATGAATGAAGCTTTACAATGTTATATATTGCTGCTCAAAGTCAGATGAATAAAACCTGACTTCAATTGAATCCTAAACACACAATGATTTTCTTAAAACAAATGTCAATATTTGACTTCAGATAGACCTCCTTTTTCACTTCTGAGGTCTAATCTGTATTGCTACTACACCTCATGACCTTTTGGTTGGCAACCTCTGATTCCTGTCCTGAACTGCTCTGTGTTGGCAACTCATTTGCGTGCATAGAGTCCCAGCAACTTCAGTAGGTATCTGCATGAGCATCTGCATATGTAGAGGTGCTTGCAGGATCAGGGTCTTAATTTGTATTTTTAATGACAACCATCTTTACTGTTACCAGCAATTTCAAGAATGAAAAGTGTGAGTCTCTTCAGTGGAGTTAAAGATCTGTAGCAGATTCCCGAATTATCTACGTTTGCTATGTTGTGGATATAATATGCACTGAATAGTAGCTTTGCAAATGCTTCTTTTACTTCTGTTGGATTCTTTAAGGTGTAAAGGTGTTTTCCCCCCAATTGTGGATATCTAGGCTTAGGTATAAAATGCTGTTGGTTATTTTAAAATGAAAATAGAGTCCATTGGCTTATTGATATGTCAGGAAAGCTAGAGGAGCAGAAATTCCTTACAAGGAAGAGGGTACATGTCATGGTTAGGCAATTTGCTTCAGGAAAACCTGTCCTTTTGTGTAGTTTTGTTGCAAGTTGTGCTGGGTGGGAGAGAAGGTTTCTTTAGTGAAGGGGTGGCCAACCTGTTAGAGACGAAGAGCCAAAATAGTGATGGATAGAGTGTGAAGAGCCACATACCAGGGGGGAAGGGAGGAAAGTTGGGGGGAGGGAACCACCACACTGGGCAAAAATAGGTACACTGTCCCAGGGAATACCATCACAAAAAAAGCACTGGGAAAGGGTGAGAGGTGCAAGCTCTGGGAGGGAATTTGGGTGCAGGCGGAAGTAGAGAAAAAGATGCTGGCTTAGGGAGGGGGCTCCAGACTGGAGAGTGCTGAGGTGCTGAGTAAGATGCAAGCTTACGGCTGTGAGGGTGCAGGATTTTGGGCTGGGATGCATGAGGGGCTCAGGGCAGGGAGGCTGAGAGTATGATGGGCTCAGGACACAGATTTGCAGTGGGAATGGTGCAGGAGTGTTGTGGCAGAAGACAGGTTGTGGGGATGCAGGAGTTTAGGGATGAGAGGCTCAGGACAGGGGGTTCCAGTGTATGATGGACTCAGATTTGAAGTCTGAGGGGGTGCAGGGGTGTTATGATGCTGCAGCCAGATGGGGGCTTGGCCCCAATTAGGAGCTTGTTGGCCATGCTTCATTTTTAAATAAAACATTGTCAAACACAAAATGTTTCAGTGTTGTCTTTATGAGAGGGGCGGGGAACCTGTTTTGAGTCAGAGGTCACTGACCCACAGAATAGTCAGTCAGGGCCACACAAGTGAGATGCAAAAAACCAACCACTCCAACCCCACCCCCAAGCCTCACTAATGTGACCCCAACTATGCTGGTGGGGGCAGAGTACTGGGGGATGCTGGGGCAGGGTAACCCCTGCCGCTACAGCTGCACGTCTCCCTCCAGGCGCTGGGGTGTGTGCGCTGAGCAGCCGGCATGCCATGCACTCCCCTCCCCCCAGCCCAAACCTCCTCCCCTTCCCCAGAGCCAGACACCTCCCCTCCCCACACAAACACAATCTGGGTCCCAGAGCCATGTCGCCGCCGCCGCTACTGCCATGCACATCCGGGACTTCATGTGCACTCCCCACCTGATCCCCCTCCTCTCCCCTCCCCTTCTCCAGAGCCAGGAATCTCCCCCTGCTCTAACCCAATTCCCCTCCCCCACTAACCTTATCCCCAGGTCCCAGAGCCACCGCTGCCACTTCACCTGGAGCCCTCTCCGTTGCTGCTGCCTGCGTTCAGCAGCCGGCTGCTAGCACGTGCAGGCTGGGATACTGTGCGCGACCCGGCCTGCACGTGCAGCATATGATACAGTGCGCTGGGGGTTCACAGTGGCCCGGCTGTGAGAGCAGCTGACCTGAGCAATTTCGGGTTCTATCCAGAAACTTCAGGATCTCTACCAAGCATTTAAAACCTCAACTACCCACCTGGAGAAATAAAAAAAGCCGGCTGCTAGCACGTGCAGGCTGGGATACTGTGCGCGACCCGGCCTGCACGTGCAGCATATGATACAGTGCGCTGGGGGTTCACAGTGGCCCGGCTGTGAGAGCAGCTGACCTGAGCAATTTCGGGTTCTATCCAGAAACTTCAGGATCTCTACCAAGCATTTAAAACCTCAACTACCCACCTGGAGAAATAAAAAAGCAAATTGAAAGAGCCAGATGAATACCTAGAAACTATCTACTTCAAGACAGACCCAAGAAAACCAACAATAGAACATCACTTGTCATCACCTACAGCCCCCAACTTAAACCTGTCCAAAACATTATCGATAAATTACAGCCTATACTGGAAAACAGGATACTAAACTCCGAGAGGCTCTGGGAGACAGACCCATAGTCTCCTATAGACAACCACCTAACCTCAAGATGATTCTTACCAACAACCACAGGACATACCACACTAATACCAACCCCGGCACCTTCCCTTGCAACAAACCCCGTTGCCAGCTTTGTCCACATATTCACTCTGCTGATACCATTATTGGACCTAACCAAGTGAGTTATAAGTTCAAGAACACATATTCCTGTGCATCCAGAAATATAATTTATGCAATCATGTGCCGAAAGTGTCCGTCTGCTATGTACATTGGACAAACGTCTCAGACACTTCACCAAAGGATCAATGCCCCCAAAACAGATTAGACAGGATCACAAAGAAAAAACCGTTTCTTGCCATTTCAACCAGCAGGGACATTGTCTCAACGATTTGATTACCTGCATCCTGCTTCAAAGGCCTTCTAAGACTACAATGGGAAGAGAATCCTCTGAACTGTCATTTATGCTCAAATTCAACACTTTACACTTGTTTGAATAAAGACTCTAATTATCTTACTCAATTGAAAGAGAAACAAGTAGTGTCTGGAGTTTCTAAAAGTCTTTGACCAATTCCATCATAAGAAGGAGGCTTCTGTTCTGAAATGTGATTTGTCCTTTTCATATGTGTTCACATTTTTTTTAATTGTATCCTTTGGTATATATGGTTGTGACTATTTTCTTCCACTATTTGATCTGAGGAAGTGGGTCTGGCCCACGAAAGCTCATCACCTAATAAACCATCTTGTTAGTCTTTAAAGTGCTACATAGTCCTGTTTTTTGTTTGTTACACCAGATTAACATGGCTACATTTCTATCACTATTCTTAGTGAGTGGGGGGATGTACTGCTTGAAAGAGGAGGATTTGATGCATCTCTGTGGGGGTGGGGGTAGAAGTGTTCAGTAGGATGAAGGAGACGGACTTTCTCTCCTCTCTTGCAGTCTCTTCTGTGTTCCTCCCTGCCACATTATGTCCACTTTAGTGCCTTCCAGAATTGAGTTCCAGCAGCTGTTCACTTGTCCTCTCCTCTCATCCACTAGTCTCTCATTCTGCAAGTTGCAACACCAGAGGGAAAAAAAGGGAAGAGGCTGCTGACAGGCAGAGAGCTGGTGCCTGCATAATGGCCAACACAAATGCAATTTCTGTTCTTGATAGAAGAGAAGGGGAGGATTCAGACTGGGAGGAGTCCAATGGGCAGAACAAAGGGCAAAATAGATTCAATCATAGCTTCTGCATTGGTTTACTGAAACTGCTACAACAATCCAACAGTACTGACTCACACCATGACCATCATAATAAATTGCAACATCTGGTCATTAATGACTACTGTTTCTTGTGTGTACTTTTGAAATATCACTGATAACGTTGCATAAACTAATGAGTAGTTTCTTTAGAGTTCTCTTTTCAAATTGTTTTTCTCTCCTTCTCCCATCCCAAAAAAAGTGAGGAAAACTGGTAGTGGTTCCAATCACATATTTGCTCTAAAGCAACAGTAGCAGTTGATAGTTTTTGCATTAATGACAGAAAAGTGTGCACTGAAGCAATGGAAAAATCATCAGAGAGGGTGATTTAACG